ATAATCGAAAATCACTGCAAACCGAACCCGATAAGAGTTTGCGGGTTTCGACCGAAACCCGAAAATTCCTTATCGGGTTTCGGGTTTGGGTTCGGTTAAAGCAAAACCGAAACCCAAAAACCCAAACGCCTAAGAATACAGGCCGAGTTCTATTCATTGGAGGTTTTCAGCCGGAACCTGAAAAACCGATAAGCAAAACCGAACCCGAATTCAAAAAACCGAAACCCGAAACCCGAAACAAACCCGAACCCGAAAAATTGAAAATGTATATAATCGGGTCGATTTCGGGTAAACCTGAATGGACACCCCTAATTACACGGAGTATGTGTTGTCTTATTACTGTATTCAGCCCCGAAAACAACCATATCACCCGCCCTGCAATCCTAGAGATTTCTCTGATCTCCTAACATGTGTCCCCCATCTGTATTCTCTAACTTTCCCTCCTGCATTATAGTACGGATAACAAGCAATCCGTTTGAACTTCGCATTCATCCATCTTAAATCTCTTTCACTAACTCCAGGGGATATTTAGTGACAAAAGTCTCGGCCAACGCCGGGAACCATTGGGTTCTTGTCCTTCTCACCGCCGGCAAACAAAGATCAAGGCAAGAGCACATAAAAAAATGGATGGAAAATGGTACAAAAACTTTGATGTTTGAGGTTTTGTATTTAGTCGGTCTATTAATCAATGAAGAGAACGATCAGTTGAAGAGATTAACATAGATATAAAATCCGAGTTTTATAAAATCATGGATATATGATGTAATTGCTCCATTTGATTTTTTGGTCAAAACCATCGTTTATTTGTTGGATTTCATTATAAATTTGGCATAATTATATTTGTGGTTATATTAGAAATTTACTTTAGTGCCCTTATTGACCATTACTTATTTTTACAAAGTTTTGCTATAAACCAATTTCCATCCCATAGCCTCGTCACACTACCATAATTGGAATAAATGAACATTCTAATCAACAATGAAATTCATTAATCATGTAGTGTACTTTCCAACCGCTTTCGTGTAATGAATGATAATGAAGATTGAATACAAAATTAGTAGGCACAACAAGTCGGTCATTAGTAAATAAAAGAGGACAAGTTGGTCATTAGTAAAATATAAGTGGGGATAAAATGGTAAACCGTCATCATGTATTTTGTACCCAAGCACAAATTTCACCTCTTGAAGTGGAATTTCAAGTCCGTGGGATCCACGAATTTGGTCCCTCAAAATCTGTAGACCCATGAATTTGTCCCTTATAATTGGTGAACAAGTCCCTCACAATTCTTAGCAGAAGACTCTTCATTTGCATCTAATTCATACCAATCTTCTTCATCTCCTTCCCTTACACTCTTGGTCAACACTAGTTGTACTTCTGACTGCCAATGCCAGTATGCCACCCCTTGCTTTCTCCAAACACAACATCCTTATAACAATATTTTTGGAGATCGGAATGTATAATTTATATGTTTTTGACTCAACATAAATGCCTAAAAATTGCATTTAACACTCTTCTCATCCAACTTCTTTATCTGTTGATGTGGAATGTATAAATAGGCCGCACAACGAAATACCTTGAAATGTGCAACTAAATGAGGTTTTCCAAGCCACATTTCATGAGTTTTCATGCCTTGCAGTAGGACACGTACTCATGAATTTAGAAATAGGTCGCACAACCAAATACCTTGAAATGTGCAACTAAATGAGGTTTTCCAAGCCACATTTCATGAGTTGTCATGCCTTGCAGTAGGACACGTACTCATGACATGTGCAGTTTAAGCCACAGCTTCGGGCCATTTAATTGCATATGCAGTTGTAAGTGGATTTGCATTGATGTGGGTGCAATTACATTCATATGAGTTGGATTGAAAAAATATTGATGGGAAAAAAATTCATATGCAATTGAACTTGCAATTGCATTATTATGGATGCTCTCATATGTTAGATAAGATTTGATATAATTAATAAATCTATGAAAAATATAATAACTTTTTATTTTATATATCTTAGATATATAAGGCTAAGGCGGTCGGACCATTAACCCTCTATGCACTTGTTCAACCAAACCAACTGGCTTAACATAGTTGACAACCTTAATTAATTGTTAATAATTTACACTTACCTATAGGGGTGGAAGTTTGATTTGCGGGTTACCCAAACCGCACACTTTGTGGATACCCATATCCACAATTTGTGGATAGTGAGTTGGGTTGGGTAACAAAATATTGATTTTTGTAGTTAGTGGTTAATCACTAACCACAACGGTTTACTCACAAAACTACATTAACCACATTAGTTATATTTATTTCTTCAAAATACTTAGTAACCCACATTAACCACATTAGTTATATTAGTTTGTGAAACTTGGAATATTAAGAATTACAGTATCTACCAAAATCAAATACGCACCTATTTTATAAAACAAAACCAAGTCAATACGCAATGTTCATGTGAGATACTTTTATCAAATAAGCATTGTCCGTGTGGTATTTGTTTATTTTATAACAAAACCAAGTCAATAGATATAGTCAGATAAATTAATTGATTCGTTAAAAGAGGGGAATAATCTATAAAGGTTAGTCTGATACCCAAACTCATCTCCATTTCTCCACAAACTCACGAACAACACAACATGCAACCAGCTACCAACAATACAATACTATGGCCGAGAATGGATAAATAATCGATTCATTAAAAGCTGGCGCCTCCACTTAGCGAGCCACTTTTGTGTTTTGTTGTTGTTGTCATAGGAGGTGTCGTGACATGCAACGATGTTTGTCTGGTAACAAGGCACTCCGCCTCTCCGTTATCTTCAAATCTCTTGGCAAATCCATCTCTTCTGAATTTACACTAACTAACCTATTGTACTCGAGGTTTATAATTTATTTAACACTTTATTAACTTTCTTTTACGTATGTTTTTGTTTGAGAAGAAACACAACATCGATATTTAATTATCATATTATTATATTTAACGAGAATTTTTTGTGGGTATCTACAACCAACTCGCACCAACCCGCAGCGGGTAGTGGTTAACTACTACGGTATTACCCAAGTACCCACTGCGGGGCGGATAACCACACCCATCCCAATTTCCACCCCTACTTACCTATATGTTAGTATCGTAATGGTTAATCACTACCCATCCCAATTTCCACTCCTACTTACTTATATAGGTGTCAAAACATGACCCGACCCGAGTAACCCGCCCAACCAACCCGATCCGCGACCCGCCTGCAACCCGATTGGACTAAAAGTCAAAGACCCGCAACCCGCCCGACCCGCAACCCGCTTGACCCGCAACCCACTTGACCCGCAACCCGCTTTACCCGCAACCCGCTTGACCCGCAACCCGATTGACCCGCAACCCGCTTGACCCGCAACCCGCTTGACCCGGAACCCGCTTGACCCGTAATCCGACTAACCCGAACCCGATTAACCCAACCCGAGCCCGCCCGATTGGCACGAATAATACTACATAATATATTTTTGTGCATAAATATTATATGTAGATAATATATATATATAGTTTACGTATATTATTTTTTCATCTTTCCCACCAAGAACAAAAGTTTACTTTGTGTTGACAAATGACTACTGTCATTAAATTGAATCACATAATAGTCTCACTGTCTCGGTAGATAAGTAGAAATCCTAGGAGGGTTATCAATATTTCTTACATTTGATTAATGTATATAAATAATATATATATAAAACATACATATGAAAAACATGATTGACTTAATTAAGCCAATCATATACCAGTACCTAATAATTACAACATTTTTTTTCCACACATAATACAACTGGTCACATAACATTCTCAAAATATTAACCTAGCATACGAAGATTCATAATAGTACATAAGTCATAACTCATACCCTAACTCCAATCATAAGAAGATACATAACAGTTAGCTTACTAAGTTCTACCATTTAAAAAATAGCAGGATACAAATCCATAGCTAACATTGTCACATCTTACATAGCCTTAAACGTGTTAGTAAACAGAGTATTTACTAACTATAATGTATAGGGTATGCGGTAGTGGATCCGTGGTTTAGAGTTTGGAGTCATAGGACGTATGTTCTTCTCAATAACCGAATATAAAATTGACTCAACTTACATTCTTCACACAACATACGTTATAGCATATACTAACAATTTCATAACATATAACTATAGTATAGGGTATAGGGTCATGGTTTAGAGTTCAGTGTTTGCATGTTTGGGTTATGGACTTATGGTTAAGGGTTGAGGTTAGTTTTAGGGTTAATTACTTAATGTTGTGATTTAGGATAGTGTATGATTGATGGTTAAGGTTAGTTTTAGGTTTCAGATTTAAAATGGTGTTATAGGGTTAGGGTTTAGGGTTTAAGGCCCCTTCATGGTTATGTTTTACTATAGATATTTTGATTTTTATAGTTTATTAATTAATTTGATTTTAATGGTTAATTTAACTTGTGAATGTACATCTTAAATATTTCATATTCAAATGACATTCCGAGTTTCGACCAACGGATCGAACAACAAATTAGTCAATCCATATAAAATTTATCATTCATAGACTATAATAATAAATATAAAAAAAGGAAGAACTAGATGTTGAGGGAAAATTTTTTAATGCAAAATTCAAAACCCCCCAAATATTTTCTCAAAATAAAAATTCCCTTCCAAACCCATTTTAAAAAAAACCCTCCCAAACCCATTAAACAACTTTTGAAAACCCCCTCCCCCAATATTTGATCCAAAATTGAAAATTCCCTCCATCCAACCTGATTTTCCGTGACCAAAAAATATATATTATTAACAATATTTATTTTCTTTAATCAATGGAAAAGGGGAAAATATCTGACTTCTACTGAAAAATATCGGTCTTCTCTAGCGGACAAAAGCCATTTTGGAGGGAACTGTAAAATAAGAGCGGGCTTTTATTTCCTAGGCCAAATCTTACTTTTCAAGTCGACTGAATCTCTTTGCTAGCTAGAGACTCAAGAAAAGCTAAAACATTTTTCCATAAACAAAAAGCCAAAATAGCGGAGAAGAGAGTGAAGTTCTTGAAACCAAATCCCTAATTTCATTCTTAAGAACAAAGATTCTAGTTGGGTGGCTACAACAAGAGCACAATCTTCAGTATGCTCCATTTATAACCTACTCTCAACTTTCAATTGTTTCTTTCTCTACTTTTCCTGGATTGGTTTTCTATACGTTTTGTTTTTTTCTCCTCTAGAAAATTCTAAGCAGAGGCGAGTAGATTTGGGCATTTTGTTATACTTCCCTCTCAGATCTTCTAATTTGTGGCTCCGACTGGCAAATCTTCTGCTCATTACCCTAGACGGCTAGAACCACTCCAAATCATTGCTAACTATTCCTCATTAACCATCACATGGATCTGAAATTGGTCGACAACTTTTGTATCGCAGGAAGAGCGACAATATTCTATTGATGAAAAGGAGCTGGAGAAAGCTTGAACTCTATTCTTTCAGAGGTGACATTTAGGGTATGCATCTTCTATTTGGATGAAATTCGTTTTTTCTTCCAATTAGGTTTCTCAAAGTGTTGTGCCCATTTCTATGATTTGGGATTGTGACATCTTGAACAGAAGCTTAGATGAATCTGGAACAACTACTTACATAAGAATTGCTTTGGTGGTCACTCTATTCCCCTGGCACCATTTCAATGTTGGAAGGAGAGTAGCTAGCTTATTCAACTGTAACTTCTTTTCATCATTTGTTCTTCTTCCTTTTATGTTTAATGTATATTTAGGCTGTAACTTTGTCTATTCTTGTTCTTTCTTTCTTTTTGAACCGAGTTTGGTTGGAACACTGCTGATCCTCCTTCAATACCCTTTCGTTACTATCTTTTTCCCTTACGCTAATCCTTTATAACAAGAAGCTAGTGTTATTGGTAGTGAGGAAAGAAAGTAGTTTGGTTCTAGCTTTCATAAGTTCGCAATCATTCTGTGTGATTGTTTATTCTATGCAAGCCCCATCTCTAATTAGTGTAATAATTAGATGAAACTTTGTATTTGCAGCTTTTCAATCTCTGAACCATTGTATTTGCAGCTGGGCTGTCTGCCTTTCGTTTCCTGGGCGCTGAAATGTCTTTGGCCCTTTTCTTCTTTTTTCCATTCTCTCCTTTCTGCTTCTTGTTTCTCATGGCCTTTGTTACATTTCAGCCCTTTTGTTCTTTTTTCCATTCTCTCCTTTCTGCTTCTTGTTTCTCATGGCCTTTGTTCTTTGTGAGAAAGTGCTCAACTATTTATTTAAGGAATCCTCTGCAAGGTACCAACAACTAGCAACATAAAATTTGTTTATGATATATTCAAGCAATGTCTAGTCACTCATTTGTTTAATAATGTACTTTCATGTTTTTTTTCATTGCTATATGGTGATCGGTGAGTTTGTTTTAAATTAATGTAATAACCAATTATAAAAAAAAAAACTCAATGGTTTGGACCGAACAACCCGCAACCCGACCTGTTGTAACCCGCAATCCGATCAACCCGAACCCGATTGATCCGCAACCCGATCAACCTGTAACCCGATTGATCCGCAACCCGATCAACCCGCAACCTGATCAACCCACAACCCAATCAACCCAAACCCGCTTGACCCGCAACCCGCTTGGCCCGCAACCCGATTAATCCGTGACCCGATTGAACCCGACCCGAACCCGCCCGAACCCGCCCGATTGACACCTATACAGTTACTTACATGTTTTGCTAAAATCGGTATGAACTATGAAGTGGTATAAACCGGCTGTACCACTAATCGATAATAAGCCGCGGGATTATTTTTACCCTTCGTCGTCGCCCCGCCTTCACCACTAAAATCGGTCGGTCGGTTGACGAACTGAAAAAAGAAGACTGATCCATCTCTGAGAAGAAGAAGAAAAAAATGAGCCACGAGCTACAGATCACTAAGAACGAGAAGGAAGAGATCGGCAAAGCTCTCCGGCTGCCGAAAATGTACGGCAAAGTGATCCTCTCCGTTGTCTTCTTCCTCCTCCTCGCGTTCTCCTACTCCATATTCATCGGATCTCTCGACTTCCGCCCTTACTTCTTCACTCTCCTCCCGCAGCAACAACGATCCCAGTGGTCAGAATCGCCGGATGCTTCTTGCGATTACGAGCCGCTGAAGGTGTACATGTACGATCTCCCGCGGAGGTTCCACGTAGGGATGATGGATACGGAGGAACCGCAGAACGAGGAGCCCGTGACGGCGGAGAACATCCCGCGGTGGCCGGCGAACGCCGGGGTGAGGAAGCAGCACAGCGTCGAGTACTGGCTCATGGCTTCGCTCTTGTTCGAAGGGAGAGGGAGGGAGGCGGTGAGGGTTTTGGATCCGGAGGCGGCGGATGCTTTCTACGTCCCGTTCTTCTCGTCGTTGAGCTTCAACACGCACGGGCATAACATGACGGATCCGGCGACGGAAGGTGATCGGAAATTGCAGGTAATCATTGATTTCCCCCCGTAATTCGATTCGTCTTTCTCTTGGCTTGCTGAGAATTGAGGCGGAATTTCGAGTTTCGGATTGAGAGGAAAGAATTGTGGATTGGGGTTTGATAGATTAGTGAATTTTCGATTCTGAAGTTTTTGATGGATATGGACTATTGCGAATTTGATTTTGGTGTTGAATCCTTTCTATTGGTAAGCTTAATGTGCGGTGACAGAATGGGAAGTACAGATGCAAGTAAAAGAAAAGAGGGGAATTTTCTAGGGATGTTATTTTCTTCATCAGGGAAGTAGAGACTGAAGCAGTGAAGCTTGCTCCTGATTCAGTTGTCATTTTCTTACTTAGTCAAGGGTATCATCAATCGGGATTGAAATTAAGCATTATTTTGATCCTTTGAAAGGAATTCTAGTTGATGAATGGTCTTTTCTTGTTTCTGATTCAGTGTCAGTCCTTTCTTAATGAAAGGAATCAATATATCAGAACCAAGCATTATCTCCTTCGATTGTGACGGTGATTGTAGGTGATGGATGGTTCTTGTTTCCTCATTTTTTCCACGAGTTTAATTGTCTGAGCTTTCATTGTTTAAAGCTTCACGATATTTCTTGTTCTAATTCCACTATTTGTGAACGCTAGTCGTTTGTTATTGTGTTTGTTGCTTTAATTCTTAATCAGGTTTTGCTTGATCTGACTATATTTTGATCTTTCTGATTCTAGGTTGAAATAATGGACATGCTGCACCACTCTAAGTATTGGCAGAGATCTGCAGGCAGAGACCATGTTATTCCCATGACGCATCCAAACGCCTTCAGGTTTCTCCGGCAAGAGTTGAATGCATCGATTCTGATCGTTGCAGATTTCGGGCGCTACCCGAGATCTCTGTCGACTCTGAGTAAAGACATCGTAGCTCCTTATGTCCATGTTGTTGATACTTACACAAATGACACTGCTGAAGATCCTTACGAGTCTCGCAAAACCCTTCTTTTCTTCCGCGGGAGCACAGTCAGAAAAGATGTATGCTTTACTCCTAGTTCCGATTTGCTCTGTGTATCAACTATTTTCTTAGAGTTAAGTTGTGATTGGTGTCGTTATGGTTTGCAGGAAGGCAAAGTGCGTGCTAACTTGGAGAAGATATTACTTGGTCAGGAGCATGTTAGATATGAGCGGGGTAGACCTACTACTCATGCAATACAAGCAGTAAGTCTCAATATATAGAAATTGAACTTTGTAAGTATTGTTCTGGATGTATTTATCTGCGGATTCAGTAGGATCTTCTGTGCACTGCTTTGAACATCTAGTTCCATGGTTTTCCCCCAACGTGAGCAATATACTGTCATTTTAGCCCACTCACATTTCTTTCTATTCTGATGGATGCAGTCGACAGAAGGGATGCGATCATCAAAGTTCTGCTTGCATCCAGCAGGCGACACTCCTTCATCTTGCCGGCTATTTGATGCCATCGTCAGCCACTGTGTACCCGTGGTTGTCAGCGACAAAATCGAGCTTCCCTTCGAGGATGAAATCGACTACACCCAATGCTCGCTCTTCTTCTCCGACTCAGAGGCTCTACAGCCAGGTTTCTTGATCGAAAAGCTTAGTCAATTCCCCAAGGAGAAGTGGTTAGAAATGTGGAGGAACCTCAAGAACATCTCCCATCACTTCGAATTCCAGTTCCCTCCGGCAAAGGGAGACGCGGTGGACATGCTCTGGAGACAGTTGAGGCGGAAGCTTCCAGGTGTCCAGCTGGCTTTACATAGAAGTCATCGATTGAGAGTTCCTGATTGGTGGCGGCGAAGATGACGATGATGCAGAACACTGTACTGTACATTCTTGTTCATTAACCAAACACGTCACACATTGATTGTTCGACAAAAGGCCTTGAGCTCCCCCAGCATTATCACGATTGGGAAAGAGGATGCTGCTTTGAAGTGACTTGGGAGCAATCTGGTGAAGCCAGGTTTAAACCTCGTCTTCTTTCTGCTTCTTATGATTGAAAGTTACGAGTTTCGTGGAGCATGAGATGATGAAGCGAACTGTACAACACGTCACAGAACTGTAGTTTGTTTTCTTGAGATCCAGTGTAATTGTTTCGGCTAATCTCACGGAACTGTAGTGGTAGACTAAGCTGGTTTTAGTAGAAGAATCTACATTCAATCCTGTTTTCTTCTCCCAGCAGTCATTAGCATTTAGCAGGACGAAGCTCTGCTGAAATTGGACCTATCTCAGTCGTGGGACTTGGCTTAGTGGGCCCGGATTTCAGATTATGTGGGCCTTCTGTTTCAAGAACGGAATCAGGGCAATCCTAATTTAAGTTATTTGCTTCGTCAAGAGGTAATTTTCTTGTATAACTATAAACTAATAAAAGGAATAGTAACTTGCTAACTTTGCCTTCCTTTAGTATAGGAGGAAAAACTACAATTTGTAGTCTAAACTAGGAAAATAATCAAAATATTCCCCTTTTTTGTCTGACTTGTTATTTGTTAATCAACTTACTTTATAAGAAGAAAACGTACCCAAGAAAAGGGAAAGCAAAAGCTTGGTAATTACTCTAACTAGTCCAGTGGAATTCAGATTTCAGACCTAAAGAACAGATTCTGGCTTTCCTGGGAGTCGGAATCCACCCTACAGAAGCCCGGAGTCCACTCTCCACCGTTGATCAACCGTTCATACTCCATCTGATGCTGCCACGTGTCACTTCGAAACCAAAGCAACCCAAGTGACCCTAGAATAAACAACGATAAACTGACACCCAAACCAGTTGTTAGGGTTTTTGAGTTTTTCACCTCAGTAGAGCGAGGCGGAAAACTCATCTCTCAAACGCGCCAAAGCCCAATTCCCATCGCCTCCGCCAAAGAAGATGGGCGACATAACGTCGACGCCGCCGGTGGCGGAGCTGGCCAGCGCGACCTTGACCGACGACGCGGCGGCCGGGCTAGCCCTGAAGCATCCCTTCTCCGATCGGGTCCCAATCCGATCAATCGTTTCCCGCCCCGACGGCGGAGCTGGGCTCGCCGGGCAGCGCATCCGCGCCGGCGGATGGGTCAAGACAGGGAGGGAGCAAGGGAAGGGCGCATTCGCCTTCTTGGAAGTCAACGACGGGTCCTGCCTCGCGAATCTGCAAGTCATGGTGGACGCCGGCGTCGTAGAGGAGGGCCTAGGCTATTTGGTGGCGACTGGAACCTCCGTCTCCGTCGAGGGTTTGCTGAAGGTTCCGCCTGAGGGTGCCAAGCAGAAGATTGAGCTCCGGGTCGAGAAGGTCCTCCACGTCGGCCCGGTTGACCCGGCCAAGTACCCGATTCCCAAGACGAGGCTCACTCTGGAGAAGTTGAGGGATCGCATCCACTTTCGTGCCCGAACCAACACGGTAAAAAAAAAAAAAAAAAGCATTCAACTCTACCTCCTGTGTGATTGAAAGATTGATCCTTTTTTCTGAATCTTTTTGCTGCCCAATTCGAGACTCATAGACTTGACACAACATGGTAATGCTGTTGTGGCTTCAGATTTCTGCAATTGCCCGAATTCGTAATGCTCTTGCTTATGCTACGCACTCCTTCTTTCAAGAGAATGGTTTCCTGTACGTCCATACCCCAATCATCACCACTAGTGATTGCGAAGGGGCCGGTGAAATGTTTCAAGTTACCACGATAATCAGCGAAGCAGAGAAGCTAGAGAAAGATTTGATTAAGAACCCTCCACCATCTGAGGCTGACGTGGAGGCAGCTAAGAGTGTTGTAGAGGTCAAAGCGGACGAAGTAGCCAAACTCAAGAAGGCTAAAGCTGGCAAGGCTGAAATTGGGGCTGAAGTGGCTGAACTGAACAAAGGGAAGGAGAATTTGTCAAAGCTGGAAGAGAGAGCCAAACTTAAGCCCGGTATCCCTTACAAGGATGGGAAGATTGACTATGCTGCTGATTTCTTTGGACGTCAAGCTTTCTTGACCGTCTCTGGTCAGCTGCAAGTTGAAACTTATGCTTGTGCTGTCGGCAATGTGTACACTTTTGGGCCGACTTTCAGAGCCGAAAACTCTCATACCTCAAGGCATTTGGCTGAGTTTTGGATGGTGGAGCCTGAGATAGCTTTTGCAGATCTTCAGGTATAACTACTATATATGTAGTTTATTCTTGGCGTTTTCAAGTTCCTTCAATTTTGCAGTCGAGCAACCGAGAAAATAATGGAGTATGAAGATGTATCATTCTGTCTTAAACTTAATATGTTGCTCTAATGGGTTAAGGAATGATTCGTGTATCAAAATGTTTGCAGGATGACATGAACTGTGCAGAGGCATATGTAAAGTACATGTCCCAGTGGCTACTTGATAAGTGCTCTGATGACATGGAGCTCATGGCTAAGCTTTACGACAAAGTCTGCATTGACCGTCTAAGAATGGTGGCATCTACTCCTTTTGAACGAATTTCATATACAGAAGCAGTGGAAATCCTTGAGGAGGCTGTGAAGGGTGGTAAGAAGTTTGAGAACAAAGTGGAATGGGGCATTGATTTGGCTTCTGAACATGAGAGGTATTGTCATGCAAAAACGTCTACATCTTTAGCTGTGTTCATAAAAAAAAAAAAATCCAATTGTCTTTCTCGTACTGATTACTGGCCATCATCTGCTCAGGTTCTTGACAGAGATCAAGTTCCAGAAGCCTGTTATTGTTTACAATTACCCAAAGGGAATCAAAGCCTTCTACATGAGGCTCAATGATGACTCAAAGACAGTTGCTGCAATGGATGTACTTGTACCAAAGGTTAATATTATTTCATCCTTCTATTGACACCTCCGAATTTACATCACTAAGTTTCAGCTGCCTTCGTAGTAGTTCACTTAAAGACTTGCTCTGTTGATTCTAGGTTGGAGAGTTGATTGGTGGAAGTCAAAGGGAGGAGCGATATGAAGTGATCAAAGAAAGGTACGCAAGTGCATGTTAGCTTGTTTGAGTTTATGTAATCAACTTGGATCTAATGAGTGCCATTTGATGCAAGGATTCTGGATATGGAGTTGCCTCTGGAGCCATACGAGTGGTACCTTGACCTTCGCCGGTTTGGGACCATAAAACACAGCGGGTTTGGATTAGGTTTTGAAAGGATGATACTCTTTGCGACTGGCATTGACAACATCAGAGATGTTATTCCCTTCCCCAGATACCCTGGTAGAGCAGATCTATGAAGTAGCTTTTTAGTTTAAAAAGAAATAGGGGAGCCCGTGTTTAGTATTGACAACATATGAGATGTTATTCCCTTCTCTTTCCCACATTTTTTGATCCATTTGTTTGGGAGATTTCTAGTTTTGGGGTTCGTTGTTTGGATGAATTTGACCGACTCTCTGTCGGCTTTGGCTGGTTTGATCGGGTGGTAAGGTGTGAGATATAGCGGTTATTGGCAGTTGAAAGAAATGGCAATTGTTGGGTTTGATTCGTGTTTCAATTAGTGTTTTGAAATCCCCTCTTCTGTTGGCCCCTGTTGTAAGTTTGGGGGTAATGATGAAAATGGAAGGTGTTTAATCTACTTTGACGTTGTTTGTAGTGGTTAGCTTGGAAAACCAAATCTGTTTCGCCATAGAAGTTGATTCTATCTTATTTCTGTGAACTCAACCCTTTGTTGCATCTTTAGTTGCATTTTGCTTCTCCTATAGCAGAAAGAAGCTCGTCCGTTACTAACATCATTTGGCTGCTTTCATGGTGGTAATTATCTAGTTCTACACAGGAGTTGCATAGTCGTGACAGTTTTTCCTCTATGTTCGTATCATTACAGAATAATGATTGGGCACACATCACTTACAACGAATCGTGATGAAATTTCGTATTATGAAATCAATGTCGAATCTGGGATATCTGTGTTAAAGCTCAGCGATAGAAGCACTAGACCAATCCCTTGATCTCCTCACTCGTTGCTGCAAAAAAAGTAGAATAATTGTAAATACGAGAAGCAATGAAACAGATGTATACAAATTTTGTTTATTTGTTCCATCATATTTTCTAATGATAGATCACACATATATGAATTTAACTTATGGCCAAGAAATTTCATAAAATTTTATTATTAGGGTGTTTTAGTTGTAGGATGGATAGTTGCTTTACAAAAAAGTGTACGCAGAATTGCAAAATTTGTTCAATATAGATGGAGAGACAATTGGTTGTTTATTGACAAGTTTGGGTCCAAATCCTCATTTACCTAACCTACTTATCAGGCGCCAGCTCGGATTGAAGTTTATGAACGCACCTTCATCAACCTCACTCCTCAACAGGCAAGCTATAATTTTACTAAGTATAAAATGGCTAGAATCATTAGCAAGCTTGGAAATGTGGTTAATGGCAAACCCAGAACGAGGCTTCTACATTCACCTTAAACATCAAACAAGCCATCTCGGGCAATGAAAAAATTTTACAGTAGGCAAGGTTTCAGCGAAGGTAAATTCCAGTCACTATGGCTCGATTTAAAGCTACACAATCTAGCCGGCACGTACCTTCACACATAGTGGTGCTTCCTAATATGATCGGCCTGGGAGTATCCATTTGCTGTTGCGATGTAAATGTAACGTTCACGATCATGCAGATGCTTGATCTTGATGCCAGTGAGTGGGTTGACAGACTTTATTAACCGCGAAACTTCAATGTAACCTAAACTCAAGTATATTTTTTAATGATTTTCCCAAAGTGTTTTGGCTAATCCTGTATAGATCTGTTGCAGCAAAGCCTAGGACGTTTGTGAGATAAGTTTTCATGCAGATGCTATCAGGTAGGAACACCGCAACTATATCGATGCATGTGTACTTTGGTGCTTCTGCTTCTCTGATATCACCAATTTGTGTTTCCAGAAAACGAGTGGGCTCTTTCTGCCACTGAATTTTGGATGATAATAATATGTGGTCCTATGAATTTTGGATGATAACTGCCATTTTAGTAAAGCCAAATAAGGACTCAATATCAGCAGAAACTTCTCTGGCTTATTGAGCACTTCATTCGTCTATGGTTATGTGGATTCTGCAAGTGAGCTTTACTAAAAAAAAAATTGGACCATTTCTCGATTTATGCGTGTCATCCTTGCGCAGGGGCCATGCTAATCTTCTCTGTATCGTTCCAATTTTATCGGATGTCCCCGAAGGGACAATAGACTGGTCACGGCTACGGTTTATAAAGATGGTAAACTATCGCCAAACAAGCGATGTGGTATATTGGTATTCTTAACAGCAACACATGCCTTAAAAGGCACCGTTTCAAATTATGGTGTTAGTTTTAACACCTTTGGTCGACCAGGGTTCGAACCCATTCAACTACCTCTAAATCTATTATAATACTTGCTGCACATTCCACTTATTTTGTGACACACCATTCATAAGAAAATCAAAGGGAAAAGCTGCAGCAGAATCATGATGCCAATGAGTCACTATTGTATCAGAAGTTTGATGGGTTTATGTGATATCATGTTGACGCAATGAATGACCTAATGTATACGAGAGATCTGAACTGCAAGCTGCCATTTTGATGAGTTCAAACAAAATTATCAAATACCAGCAGAGCCTTGCCTGGCTTATTCCGGGAATTCATTCCTCAGCCAATTGATAGCTAGAGATCACTTCAGTTAGCTGACTTGGATTTCTGCCACAAACTATCTTCCCACTGCTGTGTGTTTCTCATACAATAGGAAGTTGTGAAGTGAGCTGAGCTCAGATCGAAAGAGATGGACAAAGTCTATGATTTGAAGGCTTACCATCTTATACATTTCTATGTTAGTACCAGCACCAGCACAATAACCAACTGCACAAAAATTTGATTAGTTGAGAAGAATGGGGGGGAGTAGCTCTTACCTCTCATACACAGTAATGGGCTAACCTTTGAGTTGTACAGTCCTCCTACTTCCTGTTTCCCTCTTCTTTCTCTCGTCTTGAAAGCAAGCCCCAGCCCAGAACAGCATCAGAATCATGATACTGATAAGTCACTTCTGTAACAGAAATTTTGATGAATTTCTTGGATAAGATGTTAACGTAAAAGCGTATACAAGAGAGAAAGCTAACCTGAAAACTGCCATTCTGGCAAGTCACATAAAGGTTTCCTAACGAGATCACAAGTGTAATGGCTACCACAAATTCAACCACTGGCATTATTTTCTATTGCTGTTAATAAGATACTACTCATATGATCTGTGGTTTTGTCTATCAGATAATTTATGATTGGGATTTTATGGCAAAGGAGCTAGAAATTGCTCATCCTTACAAGAACGTTTCAGTATGTATTCACTGCATTACCTTTCCTTTTTTTCTTTGCAGCCTGAGAAAGTATCAGGAACACTGAAGGAGCAGTTGGATGCAATCACCCCAGCTTTGAGAGAGATGCGTCTCAGGAAAGAGGTTAGAGTGAACCAGTTTCGGGCTGTGCAAGGGCAAATACAAAAAATATCAGCAGAGATTGCAGGTCATTCCAGGTATGATGATTCATTAACTAACATCATATTAACTGAGAATGACCTTTCATTGAAGAAACTCGAGGAATACCAAAGTGAGCTGCAAAGACTACACAAAGATAAGGTAATAGTTGACTGGGTACATGTTTTTTTAAAACTTCAAACAGCAAATGCACATTGGTATATGATTCTAAAGCTTCCTCTTTCTTCTCCGTAAAAAGAATGACAGGCTTCAGCAAGTGGAGAAGACACGATCCGGAACCTCGATGCTATATTAGGAATGGAGTCCTCCATGATAATTAAAAAGGTTCAACCAACTCTAAATGAGTTGTGCGGCATTTCCAATAACATAAGTGACAGCATATTGGCTAAGCTGAACAGTACCTTGGAATCTCTAAAGGAAGAGAAACAAAAACCGCACTGAGAAGGTGACAATCAATATTGCTATCTTCCAAAACAGTGTATATCGTCCAAGTTTTGATTTTCCCAGAAACAGATTATCAGCAAAAGGAAAGTTATCCAACATGAGTTTCTCAACCTGCAGCTTTACCATCTTGGACAAGCTTTGACAAACCTTCGAAATCTCATGGATACCGCGGACAATTCTTTCACATCACTAACTTGTGTACGCAAATCATCATCTGAAGTGTCGGATCCACGAAGCCTTGCCCTAAATATAATCCAGGAGGTTAGTCAGTGAACACAAGATAAAATCATACTATGCGGAGGCAAATGGTTTCTAACAACCAATTAGTTTCATCATTCAAGGCTGAAGCTGAAGTTAGACGACTAGATCGGTTAAAAGCAAGCAATACAATTATACAAAGGAGATCTTCGTCAAGAAACAAAGTGAGTTGGAAGAGATATGTAGCAGATCACACATGGAGATACCTTCAAGATCAGAGATGGAAAAAATAATCAACCTTATAAACTAAGGTGAGAGTTTTTTTACTACAACTACAATGACACTTGTACTTAAGTTGATGGGTTCAGCACTAACTGAGTATACACATGAAGGTTCCAGCAGGAAGATAATAATGGAAAAGGTTGAAAAGTTGATACAGGCGAGAAGTGAAGAGCGCTGGTTGGAAGAGTACGCATGGTCAAGTTCTAACTGACCAAATCAACAACATAATTATTCTACCAACTCAATATGAATATCCTAACTAACGCTTCACATATAGTTCAGGATGAGAATTGGTATTCAGTCAGCCGAAGAGCTCACAGGAATCTGCGATGTGCAGAAAAGGCCAGAATCCTAGTCAATAAGATTCCAGGTAATCTTAGAAACTCAACCCAGAGTGATTTACCATTGAGCTTCATAATGGACTTCAAACAGAAAACTAAGATTCTTATATAGGTACCTTTGATGGCAAGGCAATGATAGAAGAATACAACATAGTAAGGCTGGAGAAAGAGGACGAGAAGCGAAGGCAGAAGGTGAGTGTCACAAAACTGAATCTATCCATACAAGTAAAATCTATCTACAACTTGCTCTAATACATAGTTCATCAGATAATCCTAGTTCGTCTAGATAGGTCGAGTCAAAAGACGAAATAATACATATCCTGACCATCCGTCTTTGTGTTCTTACCTGACATGAGATGCCCCAGCAGGAAACAAAGAAGGTGCAGATCCAAGTAGTAGAACCTCAACCCCCCTTCAGTTCTAGACAAAGCACCAGCAGTCGACCCCCTTCCGACAGAAGCTTGAATGGATGTTTAAGCTATGCCGCCCCTTCAAACAGGAAGGCTGTCTATGAGCATCCAACATTTGGGTAGCAACAGCATAAATTATTCTGCAACTCAAAACACAAAGGAAGAAAAGAAAATGCAAGAAACTAAATTTCCTTTTCCTACTCGTCGTGGGATTCCTCCACGATGTCAAGAAGAAACAGCTTCAGTAATCTCAACATTTTCAGGCAACCAAGTTTCTCGACTTTTGCATAAATTGTCTATGCTATAGTTGCAGCACATTTAACCTCCTTTTAGTTAGTTTGATGAGCGCCGTTGTAATATGCTTGATCGAATAAACTTTGCTTTGAGATTGATTTATTCTTAAAATGAAGATGTAGAGTTGCAGTTCTGGTAAACCTAACAAATGAGTTTACAGCTTTGTTCTTCGATATCAACTCTCAACAAGCAAGCATTCGAAATTTCAAATACCTAATATGGAATTCGAAGGAAAATCACCTTACAATCCAAACAGAACCTAATTCGTAGAACAATAGAGATCTAGGTAAAGATCAGCTATCTACCGGCGATTCTCAAGCGGAAGCACCGCTCGCTGATTTCGCAAAGAAAGCGTCGATCCGGCGAGTTCCAGTCGGTGGCTGCTTGTTAGCAACTTCGCGCTTACGACCTGCAGAATCCTCTTTCTGCAACTGAGGAGCTGGCGGCGCGGGAAGCGAGTCTAAGAGGAAATCGTTGGTCGGTCGGTGCCTCTTGACGGCGATTCGGATGTGTTCAGTCTTCACAATCTTCCGCTTCTTCTCCGTGGCGACTTCGGCTGACTTCTCAGCGTGAAACTGAAGGAAAAGCTCCGTGGAGCGCGAGACGAGGAAAAGAGCCTCCGATGTCACCTTGTTGACTTCCTTGTCGAGCCTCGTTATCTTCTTCACTCGGGCGGCAGGGAATTCCGTCCGGATCGACACTTCTTCCACGATCTCCTCTTCTTCCGCCATTGATGAGTGAAAGCTCCGAACAGTAAAGAGAACGCCCGAGAACACATAGTAGTTGCTCCGACTGCAATTTCTAGGGCGGTGAAATGAAGGATAAATCCGAAATTTCAAAATCTAAATCCAGAAAACGAATTTTAGTTTATCGAGTTCCGGAACTTTCCTTCTGTTTCCCGCCAAAAGGTTGGTTCCTTTTCCCGCGAGGGAACCTGGTAGGCATAGGCTCATAGCATCTATGAATCCACTAATCCATTTGATCTATTGATCTACCAATCCATAGATCAATTCATTTGCCACCTTTAACCATTCTTATCATACACGACTAGAGTTCTTCATCTCCCGATGAAAAGAGAGTTTACTCCATGAAGATGAGAAATCACTAAGTTTGAGAGAGAAATCATCATATGAGGAATTTAGGATATTTTATCCTTTTTAACTCTCGTAGTCTCACTAACCTAATACATTCTTCAACTGAAAATTTAAACGTAGAGTTAATAAAAACTAATGATTCACAATGTTGTTTTTCTTGTGTACAATTATGGAACTATTGCATATTTTTGTATTGGGTTGGATTATTACTTAAATTTAGGGTTAATAGCATTTTCTACCCCTCTATTACTGTAAATTAACAAATGTACCCCTCTACTAAATTTTTGTACAAACATACCCTCATAGTATTAAAACGTAACTAATCTACCCTTCCGTCTAATTTTCTGTTATATAGCTGTTAAATGAGATGGAAAATTACCCAAATACCCCCTAACTTAATATTAACTCATTTTATCAATTTCTATTAAAACCCAATTAAATATTTAAACACACCTAAATCACCCCTTCGTCCTTTCGTCTACCTCATTTCCCCAACTCCACCGAAGACACCATCAGCGGCGTCACTTTACTCTCCTTCTCCAGTTCCTGCTGGCGCAGGTTTGGCAGAATTGGCGACTGTCGGATTTGGCGGCGTGGCCGCGTGGGCGAGGGAAAGAATGGGAAGCTGTTGCGGCGGACGGGCGGAGGTAATGGCGGTGGAGCCTGTGGTTGTGGAACTGAGCAGTGAAGTTGTGAAAACGATTGGGGATTTTAATTTGGAGTCGAATGAGGAGGTTCTCGCCATGGTGGATAACTTCTAGGCGGAACCGCCGACCGACATCTGTGAGATACTCTGTTCCAGTTGGTGGATGGCGACCCTTCTTGTTGCTGATCAGAGGGAATTCGCCTCACCTTTTCTCGTTTGATTATTGGGAGACTTTTTTAAAGCTTTGCTCTCTGTTTTTCTTAGTGCGTATGTAGAGATGCTAACTGCTAAGTGAATTCATGAAAGGGAAGCTCTTTGCTCTCTGTTTCCCATAGTTCGTTGTAAGTTTTCTTCTTCTTCTTCTCTTGGATCAAGAGAACAAACAAAGCATGCATGATAATTTTTTATCATGGATTCCGACTGGCGAGGGGCTGGAGTGTAAAGAGTGGTGCTGTAAATGTCGTCATCTCACCCGGTGCCACTTGCTACCGCCGCTGGGACGGAAGTGTTGAGTGCCGCCGCCGCTGATGGTGTGTTCGGTGGGGTATCTTCCGACGGGTTTGGGGAATGAGGTAGACGAAAGGAGTGGATATGTAGGAGATATTTTAATATTTAATTGGATTTAATAAACATTTGATAAAATTAATTAAAATTAATTAATGGGTATTTTGGTCATTTTCCTACCCATTTAACGGCCGTTTAACAGATAATTAAACATAAGGATATATTAGTTACATTATAATAGTAAAAGGGTATGTTTGTGCAAAAATTTAGTAGAGGGGTACGTTTGTTAATTTGCGATAGTAGAGGGATAGAAAATGCTATTAACCCTTATTGTTCACTCAATACAACCCAATCATAAAACAAACCGCATGGTCCTAACTATTTTTGGTGGCTTTGGATCTAGTGTTCTCAAAACTGAAGTGTATGACTCGGATGATTAAAATGGTTAAATCTGAAATTCTGAACCAACCGACCCATGTACATCCCAACTTAATGAGGTGTGATGGTTACTATTGTATAATGGTTATGGATTTGAAAAGAAACTATGAGAGATAAAGAGTTAGCACTTACTAGTTAACATAAAAGAAGGGGTGGGAGTGGGATTCTGTCATTATGAGAAGTAGTAATTCTGTTAGAGGTGGTAGTCGGAGAGAATGGAGATAAGATTATGAGAAATGGGAAGACTTGAGAGAATAAAGAATAAGAGTTGAGATTGGGAGGAGATAAGAGAATAGGTAAGCCTGAACTAGGAACTAGGAAGTTTGGTAAGTGGGGGAACTGATAACTAGAAAGTTGAGAGATGATATGAAAGATGGAGACTTGAAAGACTTACCATTTACTCGAGCTGTCGAGAGGCATAAAAACTAGTTGTATAAGGCGGAAGAAGAAGACTTTCTCGGCGAAGATTGAAGAGGCAGTGACTGGTGATAGAGGATTATAGGTCGTTCTCAAATTTACCTGTCCCTAAGGCCAGGATCCTATTTCCCTAGGGTCTCTCACAGACCACTTACTCCGGTCGCAAAGTATGGCTCTATTGGTTTTAGAAATGACGTAGGAGTTTGAGGTGCCTCCAGTTTTGAAAAACAAATGTAAAAGAAAAGGAAGGAGGGCAGAAAGTAAATCTATAGCTACTAGGCGAGTGGGAGATAAGAGAAGGATGGGCGTTACATAGGCAAGCTCCCCCTAGGTCTCATTGTTACATGTCCCTCGATGATCGGCATACAAGCTTTTGATTCTTAGATCATCTAATCCCACCTTATGCCGAAGCATTTACCCAGACTAATGGGCGACAAGGACCCTTTGGATGTCTCTCTTGAGGCATCACGTTGTTCGATCGAATAGGGCCACCATGTATGGTATTGTCCTAAGTGACTAGGGTTTCGATTGTTGCACCTTGAAGGAGTGCAAGGTCGACTAAGCTTTTATTAGAATCGACAAGCATCAACACATATGAAATGAAAACAAACGTATTAAAGCCTAAACGTCGATTTTACATAACGAGGACCCTTAGGGTTTACATACCTATGCAACTAAAGGAACTAGCTAGCCATGATGAAGGGTTTCTTGGCGATCATCAATTTAAACAAATTCCCCAGAATACCTTTGAAATTGGTGGTCACAACAGAGAAGTCGAGGTCTAGGCCGCCTGATGTGATTCGGGCACCAGCAAAATACCCGACCATTTTTTGGCCAAAATACCCGACCGGTTATTTTTAAGACATATCGGGTATTCAGTCTAGGAGACCCCCCGGGCAAGTCAGGAAATTACGCGACCGGGTTTCGAGTCCGACCGAATTTGGCCTTCCTTTTAGGGTTAGTTTTTTTGTTTCTTTTTGGAATTTTTTTATTATTTTAATTGCCCTAGGCTATATAAAGGGTTGTAAACACGAATTTCAGGGATTAGAGAGAGTTTTGTTGAATGAAAATAACTCGGAGGAGTTTCCCCCCATGGAGTGCTTATGGTTATTGTTTTAGCTTTTGGTGGATTCCATAGCTAGGGCAAGATCCTTGTTTGATTTTTTCTGTTGAAGATTCCAGAAGAGCTTGACAAGACTCTTATCAATCAAGCGATCACACTTGATTGTGGCGAGTATCTATCCCCACGTATCCTTTTTACGATTACTATGATAATGAATTCTTGTGCAGGAGTCTTCAAGCTTTGAGATTTGGTAGCTTGTTTTGGACAACTGATTGTTGTGAAGGCAAGAAGGCAGATGGTGGAGACTTGAGTCCAGTGAAGGTTGGAGATTTTGGACGAGGAACTTTATGTTTGGATATCGCTGGAGCAACAAATTATGTTTGGGAACCTGGCTAGATGTTTCACGAAAACATTCATGTTGACTTGAGCTTTGAAATTCATGATTTTGGAGCCCATGTTTGATCGATTGTTTGAGCTCTTGATTCCGTGGGATTGTGGATAATGTTTTTTCTTTCTTGGTGCTGATTTTACAGGAAATTTTGTTTGGAAGCCAGGATGGAAAGATTTGAGGGAAAAACTTCTTCAACGGGGAGGCGATGATGTGATTCAAGTAGTAGAAAAATATCCGGCCATTTTTTTGGGGGAAAAACCCGATCGGGTATTTTTAAGGCAGACCGGGTATTACGTCGAGGAGACCCCCCCCCCCTCGAGGCAAGACAACAAATTACACGAGTTTGGAGCGGGTTTGGCCGAGTTTGGCCTTTCTTTTAGGTTTAAGTTTTGTTTCTTTTTGGATTTTGGATTATTTTAATTGCCATGGGCTATATAGAGGGTTGTAAACACAAATTTTAGGGATTAGAGAGAGTTTTGTTGAATGAAAATTAACTTAGAGAAGTTTTTACCTCATGGAGCACGAGTGCTTATGGTTATTGTTTTAGCTTTTGGTAGATTCCATAGCTAGGGCAAGACCCTTGTTTGAGTTTTTATGTTGAAGATTCTAGAAGAGTTTGGCAAGACTCTTATCAATCAAGCGATCACACTTGATTGTTGCGAGTATCTATCCCCACGTATCCTTTACTTTACTGTTTGTTTGAAGATCGATTCAAGTTATACGAGCTTGAGTTGTGGCCGCACGACTTTGACAGAAGAACCTAGGCTCTCACGAGCTCGGGATTCTTTATCACCGCCGTTTCTAGAGCTGATTCTTCCCTCTCGGTAGGTTTCGTTCTAGCTCATGTGAGTCGATCTATGGGTAGAGTAGCGATCCTTCCATGACCCCTCATCACTTGCTTTCAATTTCTACCTCCAAGAACCTATTTATAAGCCTTGGATTAGGTTTTCTGGGGAGAGAAACTCATCCTTCTAGTTCCATCTAGCCAATCAGAGTGCTCCAAATACGTGTCCAGTGAATCAGGAAGCTCCAAGGTAACTTTCTAACAAATTAGAGGGTGCTCCATCAAATGGTGGGTATGTCACCGTTTTTTATCCCAGGGCACCATTTGTTAGTCCGTCACTCTTTGAGTCTTGCCTCCAACAACTAGATCTCGATGTCCTATTCGTCTCCCAAGTGGTCCACTAGTATGCTTTGACTTAAATGCGCCAAACAATCCCAAAAGCGTATTAAATGAATAAACGTTGTCCTAGTGTTACTAAAACAAAATTAAAGCATTAATAGCAATAATTCAAGGCCCAAATACAAGACAAAATTGAAGCACTAATCTAGTAGCTTAATTAATATGATCATGACATTTGGATCATGAAGCGACCCAAATACAAGATATATTGCCTGAACATGATGATACGCTACAGTGTGGTTAATTATATATTGCAATGGAAATGTGATGAACATGTGTATGCATGGATGAGTGGATTTGTGATGATTGTGATGCAAGTGTGGTTGAAGGGAAGCATGATGAGCCTCGATGATGATGTGTTCGAAATAGTGAATAATTGAACATGAATGAATGGAGAAGAGGGTGGCTAGTAAGTCATCGGGGATGGGAAAGGCGGGTGCCTTGTGTGACAAGAAAGATAAGATAGGCGATGATATGAAATAAATGACGAGGTGTTATATGTTTATGTATATGAAGCTAACAAGTTATCATATGGTCACTAAAACTAACATAAAATGTCGCCTTGTCGTGCACTCGGTTTGGTGAAGAAGTGGCTACGAGAATAGCCCTCTAGGATGACATTACATACTTGGCTATATGCCTAGCTCTCTGGGAGGGCATTATCTATATTGTTTCTTGTGGCTGTGAATGTGTGAATCTCTTGGGTTAAAATTATGCATGTGAAAATGATGTGATGATGGATTTATCTGCGGATTGTGCTATGAGAATGCAAATTATTTTTTGTGTTGCTATAAATGATATGTGAAGTATTTGGGGAAAACCGATATTTCCCATCATCATTGTTATATTAATAAGTCATGTCTGTAAGGTTTCGGATATCTACAAGGTTTTTTAAATAAGGGTTTTTTTAAACTAACCTGCGTTTTATGTCCATGCCGAACAATATATATGTGAAATAGTTATATTTTGGTATTCGAAATGATAGGATGTGACACTTACAGAAATGAAGGAATTAGGTAGGGCTAGGAACCGTGGGGAGTCGTCGAGCTCAGTACCTGCATGAAAATTTCTCGGATCTTATCCTGCACTACTCCATCGGTTTTGCTCCGCTGGTGGCTGATATGAATCATAACTGTATTTTTGGCAAAGAACTATAATTGATTTGAACCTATAAGTTTTTTACCTTTTTCTTAATTTTTATTTTTTAATTCCATGTCAGCAGCCTCTGATATTTTAGTGGTATTTGCCCAAAATCATATCAAATTCTAATTTCTTTCTTATAATCATCAAATTCTAATTTCAGTATTTCACCCATATAATTTCTGAGACTCATTGAATGGGCTTTTTACCGCATATCCCAAGCCCAAAACTCCTGATATTTGATATTTCTACTCGACCCGACAATCTTTTGAACCGATTCGCTCTCGCTTCTCCACAAGACAGGGGCGTGGCGCCGTGGCGGTGGATTCTATTCTATACTTCCATTCACGGGAACGAAACCGCACTCTTCTCATAAACCTCCGTTAAACCCTAAACAAAACGCTCGCAGAGAGGAGCTCGCAGCTTCCTTTTTGCAATCACAACAATGGAGTTCTCCGAAGATGACTTCACTCGGCTATTGGTCATGGAGCAGGCGCGAAAGACTGCTGAAGCTAACTACGCCAAGAACCCTCTGGACGCCGACGTTCGTACTTTTCACCTTTACTTTGAGATTCTCGTCTCTTCATGTTTTTCCTTTTGGTGTTCGCTTTTCTGACGAATTCTGAATTTTTGTTGCAGAACTTAACGAAGTGGGGAGGAGCGCTGCTGCAATTATGCCAATTGGAGAGAGGTCCCGAAGCAATGTCTCGGATGATAAATGGTATGGGAAAATGTATTCTCAAAATCATAGCAAACAGTCCCTTGTTGCCAAACGAATCCGAGAATTGGTTTTGATTGAGTTATGGTTGCTTTTTCTAGATATCTTATTTGGAGTTGAGCCCCGCTTGCTTTAATTATAGGTTTGTATTTTTATAAATGCGGCTGACATTGTGGTGGTTTTGATTTTGATCGGTTTGTTTTCATTGAAGAGGCTGTATCTAAGTTTGAGGAGGCTCTGGGTATAAACCCTTCAAAGCATGAAGCTTTGTGGGGGATGGGGAATGCGGAGACTAATCTCGCATTCCTGACTCCTGATCCGGATCAGGCAGACGGACACTTTTCAGCAGCCGCTCAGCTTTATCAACGAGCTCTGGATGAGGTAAAAGAAAAACTTGCAAAGGGATTTAGGCATTTTGAGAGTATGCCATTGGTATGGGTCTTAAGATTATGAGCTGATGCTATGATTGGGATAATGCAGGCTCCGAATAATCTGATATATCAGCAGTCTTTGATGGAGGTTTCTAAGGTATGCTTTAAAGATTATGTTGGGAGTTGGTAATGCCCTGACGTAGCTAGATATCCAGTCACATGGAGGCATAAAAGATTTAGTAGAATAGTACATTGGTGATCTGAAATCTGTGATTTGGCAAATATATGTGAAGATGTCAACTTCTCATTCTTGGCGAAGTATGGTACCGCTTATTTAGCAGAGTGCCAAAGATTGTTGAAGCTGTGAATGTGATTCTAGTCCATGGCATGTCAATGCTCTGCTAACCATTACCACTTTGCGTTAATTTTTTACTTTTCCTGCAGAAGTTATGCACTTATGCTGCTCTTTCTCATTGAATTTAACTGACTAAATTCTTTCCTCCAGGCACCAGAGATACACAGGCAGGCCTTTGCTGGTGGTCACCCGGCTCTGGGCGATGCCTCTGTTGCTTCTTCAACAACCAAGGTTAGGATGTCTTTTGTTAATAATCTCTTACAAATGCATTTATCATGAAGTATTCTCTGTTGGTACCTTTTTACGAAGGTGTTATCAAGTGTATTGCTTGATGGATAGAAGCTTATATATTTTCTCTTTTAAAGAACACTGCAATTACTCTTCAAATCTGAACACAAATTTAAGGAACAGTTTATGGTCAGTTTTTCTTGGTATTTCACTCTTGCATATGGAAGCTACTTAAAGCTTCAGTGACTTAATTTAGTAGGTTTCAAGGCCACAGCGATGTAAGCTAATATTGCATTGTTTGGACTAGATGGATCCATCAATTGAACTGTGTTCTCATTCTTGTTGAACTCAATTCGGGTAATATTATTGTCCTCATGTTGGATTAGCATACAATCTACTAGCTTTACATGGTTCATGTAGGAAAAGCTAGCTGTTAAGAGTAGGGTTAGGTTTTGGCCTGCCCCTTTGATTTTACTACCATTACTGGTAAGAAAGGCTCATTCTTTCTTCTTCCCTTGGCTATGAATTCAATCAAATCGTCCTTGTGCAATATAGCTGCTGAAGAAGTTGGGCTAAGCTAACCTTAGATTTCTTAGAGTAGATGGATCAATCAGTTAAGTTGGATTTACCTTCTCATAGGTTTATTTAGCGATAACCTAGTGTTCCTTTTCGATTAGCATTATCAAGTACTCATGTTGCTTTTGAACGGACTCTGTCGTCCTTTAACAACCAAAAGTCGTGATTGGTCTGTAAAAAATATGCGAGTTTTACCTATTTTTTGCTCATGCACACTTAAGCTGCTGAATGTACAATGTCTTACTTCGTAGGGTTGAAGTCAATATATGATTTGGTACCAGGTTCATATGGGTAGTTACATTGTGCATACGATCTACTATCTTTTTTTACGTCTTCAGTTTCATGCCATTCAGAGAAATCATTCATATATGACCTTTCTTTCTCCTTTTCTCTCGCAGGGTTCCAGGAACAAAAAGGGCAGTAAGACCAAGGATCTCATATATGACGCTTGTGGGTGGATCATACTTGTTGCCGGAGTTGCCACTGTTTTAGCAATGTCCGCAAGGTCCCGAAGCCAGCTTCCACCTCCTCCGCCTCCTTTCTAAGCCTAGCAAACTTTCCTTGTTGTGGTGAGTTTAAACTAGTTAGGTTGTATATGCAATTAACACCACTCCGCTATGGGTACATCCTGGGCTCAGACTTTGTGGCTGAATTTTCTTGAAAACAGGAGAACATTGTCTAGGATAGAAGATATGGAGCTTACAATGAACTTCCTCCAAATCACTTGGGTTTTGAGATCAACTTTCAATCAATCATCTTCTTAGTATTTGTTTTAGCTGTGTGTGTCCTTCCCATTTATGATCTGGCTGTGAGTTATCAGACGGGTTGAAGTGAAGGTTGGTTGGGTTGGATTGGCTCATGTTATTGTTGGGAAATGATTTGCCGAAAGATGGAGTTTTGTCGTCCGGAAATATGTTGGAATAGATCACGGCTGACCATTGTGACAAAACAAAATAAGTTCAATGGACTAATTTTCTGAAGTTTGGTGATGGATGATATTCTTATGTTCACCAAAGTTGTAGTTGTGACGGTTTAGCCTTGTAATCAGACCAAAAATTGCCCAGTTTCCTCTTCTAACCCAATTGGTTGGGCTGAACCTAGGAGTGGAAGGTTGGGTTGTGGGTTTTGGATAACCCGCACTCATTGTGGGTAACCATACTCTCAACTGGTTACCCACAAGTTGTGGGTAGTGGGTTGGGTTGAGTGTGGGTAGTAAAATAATGATTTTTGTGGTAAATAATTATCCACTACACATTGCGGCTAACCCATAAAATCCACAATAATCAAACCTATGGGTATCCAACCTAGCTAAATTAACCTGATCAATTTTGTAATTGGCGGGTCCGGTCGGTTGTGAATTTGTTACAAACTATTTTCAAGCTTATCAAAGAGAGTTGAACATGATGTTGCCGAATTTTGGTTCGTGAGCGAGTTTTATCTACTTTAATGTCTGTTAATTTCTCCTTTTTTGTTGAGAATGAAATTGAACCCAAACTCATGGGTACTCAACCTAATTCGACCAGACCAAAGTGAGTTGAACCTCTTCAAACATGCGATTACTCCCAAAAATTCATAAAAAGGAGAATCAAGATGCACTTAAAAAAAAGCAAAAAGAATACAAACTAGAGATAATATTAAACATAGAAATCATTTGCTCGATAGCGTTCGTCGACTGCATGGATTTGTAGATGGCAAGCTCTTTATTTTTAGGTCAAAATTCAAATCATCAATCTTTTAAATATCATGTTCTCACTCAACGCGAAGCAATAACGAGTTATGCTAGTATTCTATCCATGCGAGGGCGAAAAAATTTAAATCATAATTCATGGAAACGTTGTAACGAAATAAGAAAATCACAAGGAAGTCGCTCCGTTTCTAGAAATGGACGAGGCCCAATAGGCCCAAACGGGAACACAATATAGCGGGGTCCACAGAACTGAGGGACGCTGACGTACGGTGGGGTCCACTGCCCCGGGCGAAATTTGGTGCGTGTCCCCCAAGCTTCCATGTCTGGCTGCAATACTGTAACCAAGTCTAACACACTCATTCACGCACTCTAGTCTCGCTAGCTCGCGCAGGCAACGTTGCCTTTTTAACGCAAGGATCCTCCAAACATCGCCATTCTCACTCGCCATTTGTTTTCATTTCAAAATTCAAATATTCTCTCGAACACTCTCAATTTCTATCTCGTTGTCGACGACGAAATCTCTTTCCTCAGAGCTCCACCGCCATGGTAGTTAGCTCAGAGAGAACTCTGTCCCTTTGATTTTGTACTTGTTCTTCGCCTCAAATTCCTCTCGAGCTGACTTCGCTTTGTTTGATACTTCCCGTTTCAGGTTGTCGCGCAGAAGGTGAAAGAAGCGGAGATCACCGAGCAGGATTCCCTTCTACTGGTATCCAAACTCCAATCCCGTCGCTGCTTCTCTTCTTCTTCTTCTTCCCATCTGTCTATATCAATTAGAATATGTATAGCGTAGAAGATAGTTCTGTTCGGTGAACCCCGCATTGTGAGCTTCGTCTTGTGTAGAATACAGATCTCGTCTTCTTCTTCTGTACTACTTGATGCTCAGTTTACTTGCGATTTCTTTGGTTTTGTGGTAATCTCTAGCTAGTAATGGAATTGGTACTCTGTTTACTGGAAGTGTGCTCTCGTCTGTTTGTTTTGCTCGGATTCTTTCTGTGGTCTCTCGCATAAGCTGGTTTCTATTGAGATAATGGCGCTTTGCCTTCATGCTTCCGTTGCGAAAATTTTCTTTGGCTCGCAGTGAAAGCTCTAGTACTATTTCTAGCTCCTTCGATTTTCGATTATTATGGAAACTGGAATCCATTTGAAATTTCGATCATGATTTTGCGCTATCCTTGCTCGTATTCCTTCTGTATTGTCGCGTTTAAGCAGGTATGGTACTGCTGCTTGTCTTCGAGCTTTATTCCAGAGAAATTGTTGAATCGTCGTTGTTCTGTTCTGTAGCTTCTCGGCTGGACTCGCAGTGCCCTTATTTGAATTTGTTTTTTTTACAATAGACGAGAAATCTGTTGCGGATAGCGATTTTCAATATCAGCTACATCAGAGGCTTGTTTCCAGAGAAGTATTTCACCGATAAAAACGTTCCTGCTTTAGGTAACTAGAATCTCTGCTTCAAATCCATTTTCCCTTCAGAATTTGAGAAAATTATGTCGATGTTTTTTCCCCACCCGTTTTGCAAACTATGGCTCCTTGAATAGAGATGAAGATCAAGAAGTTGATGCCTATGGATGCTGAATCTCGTCGACTGATTGACTGGATGGAGAAAGGTAGTCACCAGATTTGGCAATTTTCTGACGGAATTATCTTGCTCACCTGGTTTCGGCTTGCTTAACCTAAATTCACTGTTGTTTACCTTCTTCTTCCACAGGTGTCTACGACGCATTACAGAAAAAGTACCTGAAGATGCTTTTGTTCTGTGTATGCGAGGCAATAGACGGACCGATGATCGAGGAGTACACATGTAAGTAAAACTCCATGGAGGTGATTCTGAGTGATGTCCAATTTTGGCTTTTGTTACCGTTTGCATTTTGCATCTCTCAGATTTGGTAAGTGTCTTCAAGGAGCGATTATAATGGTTCTCTTCTTATTGCAGTTTCCTTCAGTTACTCTGATTCTGATAGTCAAGAGGTCTCCATGAACATCAACCGAATTGGAAACAAGAAAAAGGGAGGAAGCTTCAAGTGTAACTCCGTGGCTGAATGCACTCCTAATCAGATGAGGAGTTCAGCTTGTAAAATGGTGCGCACGCTTGTTCAGTTGATGAGAACTCTTGATAAGATGCCGGAGGAGGTAAGTTGTTCTTGATAAAATGGTACAGTGGATGAAAAAAAATGTCTGCAGGTTTATCAATCTATGTACTGACTTCTAGTTATGTTTCTGTTTTCAGCGCACTATCCTGATGAAACTCCTCTACTATGACGATATCACGGTATGCCTGCTGTTAGAAGACTCTATCCATTGTTTGTACTTCTAGATATGAGTAACTCTATGATCCTAAGGATTTCCATAATAAAAGTTTCACTTCACAATTAACTTGTTTTAGACTAGAGAAGTGCCACTAAATTATTCTGAAAATTGCAGCCTCCAGACTACGAGCCACCATTTTTTAAGGGAAGCTCAGAGGAAGATGCCCACAATCCATGGACTAAAAGTTCTCTAACGATGGAGGTTGGAAACGTCAACAGCAAGCATTTTGTGTTGGCTCTCAAGGTAAGACTCAGTGTTTTGGCTACGCTTCATCTTGTAGAGGAAATTGAACTGGTGGTTTAAGCAAATTTCTATAGGTAAGAAGTGTGCTCGATCCATGTGACAATGGAAATGAGGACATGGAAGAAAATGCTGTGAACTTAGGAGCTGATTCTGATCCAGGCAGCGACTCTTCTGACGAATCTGACAGTGAGGTGAAGTGTTATAATTTTGGCCTTTATGTTTCAAGTTAGCCTTCCTTAATGGTTTCTCGTGGATAAACAAACTGATCAGAGTTATGTAGTCTAATATTCCATCTTAACTTCATGGCTTTCCAGGGTAATGTATCAGAAGACCGGTACATAGTAGCACCAGCCGGTAATTACAGAGAAACTCCTGTTAGCTCACAGTCCCTTAGTAAGAATGTTGGTAGAATGTAATGTTTGGTCCATATGAACAGGCAAGCAGCAGCAAACAGAAATATATTCTGGCATCCCTGATCAAGGTAACCCTTTCAGTTTAGACTATGGGTAGACCAATAATATATTCCACCATAAAATCTCACCTTAACATAGATTGAACTGAAAATTAATTAGCTGCAAGTACTGGAGCCCTTTTCTCATTTTAGATATGTTACCTGTTCCCAGATGATACTCAAGATCCGGAGGAAGATGAGCAACAGCTTGCTAGGGTGAAGGACTGGGTTAATAGTTACCATCGTGATACCATTGAACTAACTGATATCCTCTCCCATTTCACAGATATCACAGTGGTACGAAAATTCTCTAGCTGATGCAGTTTACTGTTTTCAACCCTTGCTCTCTGAGTTCTCACTCTTGATATTTGATCCATCAATGCAGATGTTGACCGAAGGTAAACTACCTGAAAACCACTAAGGCAAAAAGACTGCTTGCTAAGCCCTTTCAAGTACTTGAGCTACTACTTCTCAACTTGTTTCTTACATCCCCCTTTTTTATTAATCTCAGAAATCATCGACAAGCTTGTGAACCAAGGTGTTCTATCAAAAGCAGGAACGGATCTTTACACCATAAACAAGCAGAAGGTTGAATACTTTCTCCGCTTTCCCTTCAACTGGCTTTCCCAGTCTAGTTTTGAGTTTTTTAATGATCCAGTTATCTGTTTTGGCACAGCAGACATCTGAGTTCGACTTCACGATGGTCAAAGAAGAAATGGAAGGCCAAGCAGCACAACTCGGAGATAAAACCACACAGGTCGATGATTACTTGTACATGAAGGTAAAGTTCTCTCTTCAATCTCCAGAATTCAGCAGCTAGATTGAAATTACATACGTAGCCTATATCTGCGATTTTGCGACTGATTTTTCCTCACATCCCAGGCTCTGTACCACGCGCTTCCCATGACCTACGTGACAGTACCAAAGCTTCAGAGTGAACTTAAAGGAGAAGGCTGCAATCTGACTGCCGTGCGAAAACTGATGAACAAGATGACCAACGACGGTTACCTTGAAGCGAAAGGCAGCCGCAGATTAGGTTTCTGTCTATACTCTGTAGCCATAATACCACCTCTATTGTTTCCCTTCCACATGCTTCATCACATTGTACTGATCGAATTCTCGTCATTTGTCTCTCGTAGGCAAGCGTGTGATCCACTCTTGGACGACTGAGAAGAAGCTCATGGAAGTGAAGCAAGCCCTTTTCCAAGGCGACCCAATGGTGATAACCTACTACTGTCTGCAGTAACAATGACATCGATACGTTCTCGTTTACTACATTCTAAACACTGGACAAAACCCCTCTTTTGCATCTCTGCCAGGATCTCGACGCTAATGAAAATCAAACGAGGACAGCAGCGCAACCAGAAGTGCCTACATCCGGTTAGCCAAAGTCTATCCACCTATCGAGTTATTCCTTTCCTAAGTAACTAACTGTCATGTCTGGTTTCAGGAACTGAACATAGAGACAATAATAACTCAACCTGCGGAGCTGTCCATTCGGTGGGTTCGGATTTGACCCGGACAAAGCTGGGATCTATCCGGACTGAGCAGACTGTCTCGAAGCCTAGGGAACATGGGAACACCCCAACTAGCAGGGCTGCTGCTGAGGTAAAGAGTAACACTGCATATTCCAAGGAAGTAACCCTTGCTGAGGTAAAGACTAATGAAGTAGTTTGATTTAATGCAACCTTTGCTGGGTTTTCTGCACAGCTGGTTGCTTCGAGGGAGAGTGGAAATGTGGAAGCTGCTGTCTGCAGCAGATCTTCTCAAGACAGGAAAGGCAGGAAATCCAGCACGGTACGTACATATCCCACAGCTCAATGCGGCATTCGTTTTCCCGTTTGCCTTTTCCCGATACTTAACTGGAGTGTCAAATTTGAATCTTCTTCTCCTTAATTAATTCCTCTGTCAGGTTAAGGATCCCATAATCCAGTTCAAGCGTCTGAAATCACAAGCAGCTCTTTAGAGTTGGAAAAATGGCCTATACGGGAAGTTCGTTTTTACTGCTTGATCAGGTTATATAGTCAGTTCCAGAGTTCCTGACTGACTCGGGAAGGAGAGGCTTCGTTACGTTTGTTTTGTAGTGTGGTAATAGACAGATAAGTAGTCGAGACATATGAGTTTGGTTTGGCGTTTCCCCTTTGGTCAGTGCATGTTATCCGTCGAGGATAAGAAAGAAAGCGATAAAATAATTACACCCAGGCTTTCTTTTCTTGCGCACTGCTGCTGACCATTAAAAACGATCTAGGTGAAACGTTCTTGTCGATAGCTTATCGGCTGCCTTTTATTGTAGTGAACTGCTGGTAAACCTTTCTTTCTTATCATAGTTTGATGTCGAAAGGAAAGTTTCAAAACTTCATTTCCCATGTGATGTCGGCACCTTTGGTATGCACTTGGGACTGCTAACCGCTCCGAATTCACAACGCAAACAAGAAGGGAGGAAAAAGGGCGTGGGGTTGGTTGCCTTGGCTAAGCAAACGAGACAACATCACTCGTCCCCACCTTCCCCCGCATTTGTACCATATCAATCCAGTTTAGCCGGTTGACTTGATCGAGTAAGTGGGTTGAGGATTAATAGGCCAATCGTTTTATCCGGTTTAACCCGAATATATGAAAATAGTAATTATATTGTTCATAAAATTATAAATTTTATCAAACATATGAATAATAACATATAACATTACACCAAAATAACTTGACGTACTTGGATCCAACTTATGGTGAAAATTCACACACTTATGTAACATCAATATTCAAATTTCCAACTTCGAATTAAAAAGATTGGGTTAGGCAAAAAAAGAAAATCTAAAAATATGCACATTTCGCAAACCAAAAGAAAATAAAACAATACCGTTTGACCTCCAACCCAGTACTTTGCAGCGGTCGACCCAATAGGGTGTATGCGACCAGTTTTTCTCAGTGAGTCAGGGTCAAAGTGGATCAACCGCGGGTTGACAACTTTACCATATCCCTCCTCTTAAATACCTCCACGTGTCCTTCCCGAAACCTCTACTTTCACCCGGACCAAATCTAAAACCAGCCCCACACCCAATAAACAATCTTCGTTACTATAAGTGACCCAAGGACCCCACTCCCAACACTCTTCCATCATTCTCAGCCCTCCGATCATTCCAGCGGCTGCGATCGAAACCACCCGCCCGCTTTATAAAACCCGCGCCACTTGCAGATCTCTCTGGAAGGAAGCTAGTAGTAATACTCGATCACTTTCGCAACAAGAACAAAGGAAAGGAAAGGATTCACTCCCAAGGAGAAAAGAAAGAAAGCTCCCTCAGTTAGAGACAAAAAAAAAACGGAATCCGGAATCTCCTTCCCACGCACTTTACGTTTTGCTTCCGCCGTGGAGAAGGTACGTACGTACAGAGAGGGAGAGAGAGAGAGAGAGCTTCGCTTCGCTTCGATTCTCTCGTTTTGCGTGTGATTGGGAAATTCGTTTCGTTGTTTTTGTTAATTCATTCATTTCTCATTTCCGTCTTGGTTTGTTGTTTGTCGGTGTGTGTGTAGATGGAGTCGGAAAAGAAGGCGAAGAGCGGTGGTGGTGGCGGTCCGGAGCTGAAGCACTTGGGGATCGTGAGGCTGGCGGCGATCAAGGCGCTGGTTACCGTCTCCAGTCTGTACGGCTACGCGAAGCAGAACTCGGGGCCGCTGAGATCCACTGTCGGCAACGTCGAAGGCGCCGTCGCGTCCGTCGTCGGTCCTGTCTACCAGAAATTCAAAGGCGTCCCCGATCATGTCCTCGTCTTCTTCGACAGGAAGGTAAGCCGGACGGTCTCCTTTTTGGTTCACCGCTAGCGGTTGTTTTTCTATTGAGATCACCGCCCCTCGCCTCGTTTGGGGATTTCTATTTGTGCAAAACCTAATCGGGAATTCGTTATAATAACCTGTGGTTGTGGAGTTTTCGTTTTGAGATGATTGAATTAGAGAGGTTTTAGGTGGATTTGGGCGATAGCTGATTTTCTGTTCGTGTTTCTGCTCATAATGTCCATTTATTTAGTCATAATACATCTGCTTAGTTCAACTAACCTGGAATTCTTGAGCTTGAGATGGTTTTCTAATTTCTATGCATCGGTTCCGCTCTTAATTTCTATTGGGCGTGACATTAGCCTAAACTTGTTTGCGCCATTTTCTCTTTGGATGTGGAGAGTTCTTGTAGAGCTTGAATTAAGGACGCTTTAGGAGAATTGGGGATCATTTTCTTGCTCGATGTTTCCATCTTCAGTTTGATGTACTGATGAATTCATCTTTGTGTTGGATGCAATGTTCAGTAGGGCTTGGACTAAATTAGCAAATCCTTACTTGATAATGTGAGCTGATGAAATTAGTTCTCTTCGATTCAACAGGTGGACGAAGCTTCAGCCAAGTTCGACAAGCAGGCACCACCAGCAGCAAAGCAGGTAGTCAGCCAAGCCCAGTCCCTGTTTCACTCTGCAGCCAAGAAGGCCGAGAAGCTTGTGAACGAGGCTCGGACGAAAGGTCCCAAAGCCGCCTTCATCTACACAGTGACGGAGACCAAGCACGTCGTGGTGAGTAACTCTGTGAAGGTGTACTGCATTCTCGACAGGTATCCTTCTGTCCACTCGATTGCGGAGTCCACTCTGCCGACTGCAGCACAGTGGTCGGCGAAGTATAATCAGACTGTGAAGGGCTGGAGCCAGAAGGGTTACCCTCTGGTCGGTTACTTTCCCTTGGTGCCGGTTGATGAGATCAAGAAGGAGTTCAAGCGGGAGAAGGGTGAAGTCAAGAAAGAACATGCGAATGGAGGAACTAAGCATAAGAAGGATAGCGATTCGTCGTCGGATTCGGATTAGGAATGTCTCTGAAATGTTTGGACCGTGGTTGTTGATGGTGAAACTGATGGTTAGACCTCTTTGAGTGTAGAAAATCTATAAGCCCTTCCTTAGAAATGTTTTCTCGAAGAACTGCTTTGGCGTGAAATGATAATGCGAGAGAATGTTTTCGTGTAAGTAGAGTTTGTTTTAGTTGGGTAGTATTCGAAATCGTACTGCTGGAGTTTGCAATGAGCAGCATGAAGCTTTACCTGGAGTGATCTGAGATGTTTTAGTGACAGTAAGGCTTATTAGCTACGTAGTTGATTACAGTTCTGCATAATAGTTCCAATCTTCTAAATCGGCAATGTTCACAAAGAGCAATTTTATTCCATCGTAACACAATCACAACCACAACCTGTACTTCAATACAAAAATGACCTTCCATTTCCATTTCATCAAACTACTAAGGCATCGGTTGCTAACCTCAATGATTGAAAAAATGACACCCCCTTAATATTAAATGTAATCTATATAGTTTAATACTCATATTAAATACACATAGGAAATTAAATGCACCATATTAATTACATGTCTTTTTTAATTTAAACCTATATTACATACAATTCCCTCTCCCTATCTCTTATTCTTCCTTTTTCCAGCAGCCTCCGACTGCCACACTTCTCCGGTGAAATCCCGCCGGCAGACTTCCTCCGGCCACCCGCAAAAATGTACCGTTACATTAAAACAATGTACAGTTACATTAAAAAAATGTACCAGTGCGTAACACTGCACCGATATTTCTACCACTACATTTAAATTCAGATCTGATATTTGTACCAGTGCACTGATATCGCTACCAGTGTAGTGGTATCTCTACCAGTGCATTGGTAATGCTACCAGTGCACTGGTACAAAATATCATATATGAGTTTAAATACAGTGGTACAAATATCAGTGTAGTGGTACAAAAATCATAATTGAAAAATCGAAAAGTCAGATCTGAAAAATCAGAAATCGAAAAATCATAACGGCGGAAGCATATGATGAGAGGAAGGAGAGAAGAGGGATGATTTGCTTTTTTTGGAGAGAGAATTGTGTTTAGTATAGGTTTAAATTTCAAAAAGCAAGTAATTAATATGGGGTATTTAATTCTCAATGAGTATTTAATGTGAGTGTTAAATTTTACAACTTTCATTAATACTTACCAAACGATTAAGGAAAAATGTACCAATAAGAAGGGGGTGTCAAAAATCAAACCATTTTGAAGGTAGTCACCATTAGGGGTGGGAATCGGTCGGTAAACGGTAAACCGTTTACCGAATTTACCGGTTTCGGTATACCGAGGGTGGCCAAACTGTTTACCGTTTACCGATACCGATTTGTAACCGGTTTACCGATTACCGAATTACCGGTAAACGGTTACAAACCGGTTTACCGAATTACCGCAAAGGACGACGTGGGGTGGTTTTCCGGGTCGCCGTCGGCGGGGATATTTGGGTTTCTGCCTTACCTCCAAGTCGCCGAGGGAAGGAAGACCCACATAGTGCATTGCTAAATGTAGAGGATTGAAGTTGTATTTTACATAGACTAGGAGAATGGCTTTAAGTACCAATCTCTGGAACTGATTGTAGCTACAATGAAGGAACCACTAACCCACTAATGACGTTGCTAACAGCTAATAATAACAATAAAATAATTACAGAAAGTGGAGCTAAGCACAGCCCTTATCACGCCCCCGCAAGATGGTGATCGGGACGACACCAATCTTGGACCGAAGTAGCTGAAACCGGGCAATGGGGAGTGGCTTCGTCAGGGCGTCCGCAAGCTGATTGACAGTGGGTATATGCTGTACGCTGAGTTCCTGGGATTGAACAAGATCACGAACAAATAGATAGTCAAGAGCAAGATGCCGCATACGTGAGTGGTGGATCGGATTGGCAGAGAAGTGCACGGCCTCGAGATTGTCGCAGTGGAGGGTGGGGTTGGACATAAGTGGCTGATGCAGTTCGCTGAGTAAGTTGCGAATCCAAAGAATTTCGGACGTGGCATGGGCTAGCGCTCTATACTCGGCCTCCGTGCTGGAGCGTGCAACAGAGCGTTGCTTCTTCGATTTCCACGAGATAAGATTGTTGCCGTAGTACACAAGATACACCATGGTGGAGGTGCGGTCATCGGGGTCACCAGCCTAGTCCGAATCGGCGAAGGCAGTGATTGTCGGAGAAGATGTAGAAGTCAGCCGTAGGCCATAATCAGAGGTACCCTTGAGATACCGAAACAGCCGTTTCACATGCTGCAAATGAAGCTGAGTAGGAGCATGCATAAACTGTGATAGTTTGTTGACGGCGAAGGCAACGTCGGGACGCGTGATGAGCAGATACTGAAGAGAGCCTATGGCCTGCTTGTACAGAGTCGGATCGGCCGGCGGTGATCCATCAAGGAGAGTAAGCTTCGCGGTGGATGCGAGAGGAGTGGGTGCGGGTCGCGAGTCGGACAGCCCAAATTTGGCAAGAACATCGTGGACAAACTTGTGCTGAGATAGAAGAAAACCATCGGCTGTGGGGAGGACCTCAACACCAAGAAAATAGCCGACCTGTCCCAGACTTTTCAGAGAAAACCGAGCAGACAGCCGCGCTTGAAATTGAGACAAGGAGCTCGCATCATTTCCTGTTAAGAGAAGATCATCGACGTACACCAAGAAATAAAGAGTCACCGAGCCCTTGTGATAAACAAATAGGGAAGCATCACACTTAGACTTCACAAAGCCCTCTTGCACGAGAAAACCAGACAGCTCCGTGTACCAGGAACGCGGGGCCTGGCGAAGGCCATAGATAGGGCGAGTGAGACGGCACACATAATCAGGGTGAGCAGCGTCCTGGAAACCTGGGGGCTGCTTCATGTAAACAGTCTCATGAAGAGAGCATTGTAAGAAGACATTATTGACATCAAACTGCAAAATAGGCCACTGGTGAGAGAGAGCAATAGAGAAAACGGTGCGAATGGTGACCGGTTTGAGAAACGGACTGTAGGTCTCATGGAAATCAATGCCAGGGCGCTGGGCGTAGCCCTGAGCAACCAGACGGGCCTTGAACCTGTCGATAGAACCGTCGGGGCGCCATTTAATCCGAAAAATCCAGCGACACCCGACAATATGTTGATGCAGAGGCCGCGGGACAAGAGTCCAAGAATGATTGGCCAAGAGGGCCTTAAACTCAGCCCACATGGCCGAGGTCCAGCGCGGATCCGCCAAGGCCTGTTTTACCGAACGAGGGGTAACATCAAAAGTAGAGAGCTCAGCAGAAAATAACTTCTTGGGACGAAAGATACCAGTCTGACTACGTGTAATGGGCCGGCGGGCAGGCTTAGCAGGAGGTGGTGGCGGCTGACTGTCATGAGAGGAGGAGGCTGTTGGGGACGCCACGGCAGGGGGATGTCCAGAAGCAGAGGATCGCGCAGTGGGAGAAGGGACGGAGGGATTAGAAGGAGGGGGGAGGATAGTGGGCGAGTTGGCGGGTACAGGAAGGGGGTAAGAAATGACGGGAGGAGTAGTGAGGGCGACCCAATCGGGTGGGGAGTATGAGGAAGCCGAGGGAGGTATAGGAAGGCCAGGTAGCTGGTTCTCGTCAAATTGGACATGACGAGAAGCATAGACACGGTCGGTAAGAGGGTCGAGGCAGAGATAGGCACTTTGGGTGAGGGAATAACCAATGAAAAAATAGCGACGAGAACGAGGGGCAAGTTTGTGAGGTGAGTACGGGCGGAGCCATGGATAACAAATACAACCAAACACCCGAAGTTTGAGATAGTTTGGGTGTTCGTTGAACAATGTATGATAAGGGGAAGCACCACGAAGGGAAGAAGAAGGTAAGCGATTGATGAGGTACGCGGCGGTGCGAAATGCATAGGACCAAAGGGATAGGGGAAGATTGGCGGTATGAAGAAGAGTGAGACCCGTCTCTACGATATGGCGGTGTTTACGCTCAGCGAGACCGTTATGTTGAGGTGTGTGTGGTGGGGTGAGTAGATGAGTGATGCCATGGGTTTGGAAGAAGGAACAAAGCTTTTGAAACTCACCCCCACCATCACTGTACACACGGCGAATGGTAGTATGAAAATAATTCTCAATCATCGATTTATAAGTAGTGAAAGTTTGATGAACATCAGATTTACGAGAAAGTGGATAAAGCCATGTGTATCGAGAAAAATTATCGACAATGACTAAATAATAAGAATAATTGTCATGAGAAACAACGGGGGAAGGACCCCAAACATCCATATAGAGTAAATCAAACGGACGGGAGCTAGATCCTTATTCAGGCCGCGTAGCAGGTGCGCCCCCGTAGCCAGATCCTTCACAACAAAAGAGTCAGAGAAAAATTCAACAGACACCGGATTAGCTTTGCATAACTGAGCAACGGATAGTAAGCGCCGCTTAATGGCAGGTACACACAGTACATTACGAAGAGAAAGGGGTAACACAGCAGTAGGCAAAGAAGAATCGCCGATATGTGTAATTCACAGACCTGAACCATCGCCTATAAGCACTTCATCGGGGCCATTGTAGTCGGTGTAGAGCGATAAATTGCCGAGATCAGGGGTGATGTGATTCGTGGCCGCAGAATCAACCAGCCACCCCGAGGAAGAAGAGGACCCAGCAGCTTTATGATGTACTTGTGGGCGGCCCTGAAGACGAAAGCACTCCTTGGCCGTGTGGCCGGGCTTGTCGCAGAACTGACAGACCACCTGAGGACGACCAAGGAGGGAAGGACCAGACGAGCCACTGTGGTAATGTTGGGCCGAGCGGGAAGGAGAGGGACGACGAGGTGTGCGCGGACTGGAGGAACGGCGATAATAGTCCTCGGAGGGAGACCGAGATTGAGAAGACCCACGCGCGGAGCGTAGCCCAGGAGAGTGGTAGCGTCCGCGAGTTGTGGAGAAGGCAGTAGTCGGTGCAGAGGAGGGTGGAGGGCGAACAGCTGCAAGATCGGCCTCGAAGTCGACCAGTCGGTCATGCAGATCTTCAAGGGCAATCGGATTGTCCCGGGCGCGAATGGCGGCCGAGAACTGCCCATACTCCTCGCGAAGGCCGCGAAGAATGTGCAGAATCAAGCTTCATTAGAAATGGGTGCGTTGATGAGAGAGAGCTCGGCGGCGGTTGAGCGCTGAGCCTGGAGATAGACGGAGACAAGCCGATTACCCTGACGTTCACGGCCGAGCTTCTCCTTGAGATTCATGACGCGTTGGCGCGATTGGTTTGCGAACATTCGTTCTAAGATGGTCCAGGCCTACTGAGAAGAAGTGGCGGCCGAGACATAGGGGGATACGCCAGGGGCCATGGAGGCAAGAATGGAATGGAGGATCAGCTGGTCTTGTTGATACTAGGGATGGCAATGGGTCGGGTTTGGGGCGGATTGTACTAAACCCATCCCCATACCCATTTTCAATTATCAAATCCATACCCTCCCCATCCCCATGCGGGGGGAGATTTTGCATCCCCATCCCCATCCCCGCGGGTTTCGGATACCCGAGGGTAATCCCCGCCCCGTACATCTGATTATGTTATAACTAAATTACCACACTTGAATTCAATAAAACATATAACTATTGGGTTGAAACATCAAACCTAATCAATGATAAACCTAATAAAGAACCACTAGTAATCTTAATTAGATCATCCAACTCCTACCAGGTTCCATAACAAAGTACCAATAAATAATCTAACATCAAATTATTCATCTCCAAATTAAAACACCTCATAAACAATAAAAATCCACACATAAATGTCAAGTTATCCTCCAAAATTCTTCTTTCGTAGAAAAACAAAGTCTATTAATCATGAAAAAACATAAAAACTACCACCTACAACTCCTTATCCACTTTGTCCAAATGCAAACCACTCCAATAGTCCAATTTATCTCCCAGACTCCCACTTATCCATATCTGTAAACACACACAAAGCCATAACATGAGATTTTTAATAACATGGGCACCAATTTTTATCAACAAATTTAATGGAAATAAACTATAATATTGGAGGAGAAGTTTTTGAAACCGTACATATAAAGAATCCATGTCAAATTTGGAATTCATCATCAGAATCCGCATCTGAAGCAATGGCCAGCTCTATAAAAAATATATAGAGAAAGAAGCATTAGATAAAATTCATTTTATATTATCTAGCTAAATAAGATACAAGTTTAAAACAGTACCTGCTAGGGCTTTATTCAAATCTGGATCCTCATCTTCATTCGTTGTACACACTGTATCCCATGGTAGTGCAGAAAGATCCTCTACAAAAAAGTAAAATAAAATTAGAAAGTAAGATGTAACAATATCAAGATACTTGTATGTAAGCATATCAATTTACCTTCCTCGCTAACATGGTTCAATAGCCAACTTTGAGTACACATGAGGGCTTCAACTGTTTTTGTATGAAGTCTACTTCGTTGAGTACTAATCAATCTACCACCAGCGCTAAATGCAGACTCAGAAGCTACTGTAGAAACAGGAATGGCAAGCACGTCTCTCGCAATCAAAGCCAATATTGGATACTTAGAAGAATTTGCCTTCCACCAAAGCAATATATCAAAATCATCACTTCTACACAAAACAGCTTCCTCAAGATAAGAGTCCAACTCACTCTTACCACCAGAACATTGTGCAAGAAGTCTATCCACAAACAAGTCATATTCGTTCATCCTCCCTGCAGTGGCTTGACTTGAACTAGAACCATCAAGGGAACACCCTGAACCCTCCTTACTTGCATCAGACTTTAGTTGATAGTCTTTGACTAAATCAGCCAACAAGCAACGGACCTTCTCAATCTCATTTTTAGATTCATACCCAAAGACTTTCGGATAGTAAAAATTCAACAATGTCATCTTGTACCTTGGATCAAGAACTGCAGCCACACTTAGGATGCCATGACTTGTCCCCCAATATTTTTCAAACTTCTCAACCATCTTTCCAGCCATCTCAGAAACAAATGGATCCTCACTTAATGACCAATTAGACAAAGCCACTTTGATATCACAAATCTTGTCAAAGAACAAGTTGGCAGTAGGGTAGTGTGATCCAGAAAATAACTCAGTCACCTCATAAAACAATTTCAACTTGTCACAAACTTCTTTAGCAAATGACCAGTCTTTCTCAGAAGGCACCTTCTTGTATTGTGGCTCTCTAAGCTTCAACCTAGGGAAAACATCCTTATATTCCAATGCATTTTTTAGCATTAAATATGTGGAGTTCCACCTAGTTGGACAATCAAGGCACAACTTCTTGTCAAATTCAATAGACAATTGTCTTGCTGCATTTTCAAAATTTTCTTGCCTTTTGGGAGTTGCTGTCCAGAAAGAAACACTGTCACGAACATTCTCCACACTTTTCTTAATCACATATAGACCATCCTTAACTATCAAATTCAGTACATGTGCACAACACCTCATATGCAGCAAAGATCCATGTCTCACCAAATGACGAGGATTCAACTTATCTTTCAGCAACTCAACAAGAAGATCATTAGTGGAACAGTTATCTAAAGTTACCGTAGATAGCTTTCTATCCAAGTTCCACGCATACAAGATCTTGTGGATAGCCTTTGCAAGAACCTCACTAGTGTGTGGACATGGCACATAGCAAAACCTGACAAACAAACAAAAAAAGAAGGAATTAGTATTATAGTTTGGTTATAAATTTTATATCAATATTATTTAATTCAATTATACATACCTGAGAATATAGCTTCTCATCCTCCATGAGGCATCAATGAAATGAGCTGTCACTGCCATGTATCCTTTCTTTTGATTACTAGCTGTCCACATGTCACTAGTAATTGCCACACGACTTTCATTTGCAGCAATCAACTTCCTTAAGTCCTTCCTCTCACTCTTGAACATGTTCAATATGTCACTTTTGATAGTGTTTCGAGATGGGCACTTGAACAATGGTTGAATGATACTTAAGAACTTCCTGAAGTAGACATGATCAACTACGGCAAGAGGATATTCATGCAACACAATCATAGCAGCTAAAGCCTTACGAGCCTCCTCCTCACTGAAGTTGTAAATTGACTTGGTAGACATTTGCCCAGAAACATTCTTTACCAGAAATTGTTGTCTAATATCCTTTTTATTCTTATGAAATCTCTTATAATGCTCCATCAGATGGCTTGTACCATTTCTAGCACCCGCTGTAAGAACTTTCTTACAGTAATTGCATCTAGCTTTGATCAACTCACCTTCTTTAAACCTTGTAAAGTGGTTCCAAGCTTCACTCTTGAATCTATTATTGAGTGCTCCTTCATCCATCGCATCATCAGCTTGATTGGTAGGTGGATTATTGGCACCATCACCAACAACAGGGGCAGCCACAGGAGTTGAAGTTGGGGTGGAAGCAGAAATCGGTGGTGTGATCATAGGACTCCCAGAATCTTCTTGTGTAGTCATTGATGATTTGTTGGCCATCTGTCACATGATTAAAATAGGAGAAATTATATTAAAAACCTGCTCCTTAATTTAGAAAATAAAATAACATGGAAAAGCTTTAACAGAAAAAAAACGCTGCTACATGCATGCAGTGTGGGTTAATAAAAAACGATGATGATAATCATGTGCTTACCCTTTCTTTTTCACCGCCTGTGCATGCACTGTGGGTTAACAAAACATGATGATGATGTCATGATGATTATCATATACCCTAATCCCTATCAAAGAATATATATATATATATATATATATATATATATATATATATACTCTTCCATCCCAAAACGAAGTTACATGTTCATTGCACGTAGGATATATATATTGATTAAAATGAGATCATGAATAGACTGTTGAAACAGAAAGAGGAATATATTGATTAAACGAAAAACGGAGCATATGTTCTTATTCTTACCAGTTACCACGGGTACACTGCTGATTGTTAAACGGACGATGCGTAGAAGACCCGATCCGATGAATTGAAGGAAGCCAACAAGGGAGGGGCGGTGTTCGTGGAGAGGCTATGGAAGATGGGAGGAGCTGCAACAGGTTTCGACTTTCAACGTTGCCTTGACGGCTCAAGACTTTAAAAGACTAGCTAGGGCTAGGGCTAGAGCTATATATAACATAAGTAATGATGGGGCGGATATGGGTATGGGTATGGGGCGGAGGCACTCAAATCCATCCCCGCCCCATACCCACGAGTTTCTTTGCGGGTATTACCCGTATCCGCCCCATACCCAGTCAATGCGGGGATTCCCCTCGTTGACCGGGTTGGGTAGGGTCGAATACCCGCGGATACGGATATAATTGCCATCCCTAGTTGATACCAACGTCGACGAGCAGCGGGAGCATCAGCAGCCGGTTGAGGATGACTCCCATCGAGGAACTTGAGGAGATCGAGGCCGCGGAGGAGCGTGAATAGCTGAGCACGCCAGGTGGGAAAGTTGTCGCCATCAAGTTTGGTGGGAAGTTGAGAAGCGGGATTCAGCGTAATGACGGTGTTGGCATCGTCGATGTTAATCACAGATTCGCCAGACATGATTGTGAGGAACAGAAGGGCGGCGAAAAAGAATAGCAAGGAGAGAGACGAGGGTTTTTGTTTTTAGGGTTAAGGAGATCAGAACGGTAGCTCTGATACCATGTAGAGGATTGAAGTTGTATTTTACATAGACTAGGAGAATGGCTTTAAGTACCAATCTCTGGAACTGATTGTAGCTACAATGAAGGAACCACTAACCCACTAATGACGTTGCTAACAGCTAATAATAACAATAAAATAATTACAGAAAGTGGAGCTAAGCACAGCCCTTATCACTAAATACCAGGAGCATGAATTGCTGTATCATTTCACCATTTGCCAATTTGTTCCTATTTTTGTTCATTTCTTTGTGAAAGTGAGTAATTTGGTTTTTTTAACAAATATTTTGACAAATCATCGATCAGAATTCACAACCATGCATTCTTAACAAATCCATTAATTTATTTCAACAATCAATTATCCAAACTTTACTCAGAATTCCATTTACTTCATGTTTCCAACAATCAGCAACTACTACAAATGTACGGTGGATGATCTCTACCTGGTTTTTTCAACCGGGAAGTAAGGTAATGCTATCCATGATCTCTAGCCAGTGTTTGTATGTGTCGGCGGGGATATTTGGGTTTCTGCCTTACCTCCAAGTCGCCGAGGGAAGGAAGAGGGTTTCAGGGCCAGGTCGCCATCGGCGGGGAAGCGGGAAGGTGGAGGCGGGGAAGCGGGGCCGTCGGCGGTAGAGAGGTGTTTCTCGCGAGCACGGCCGACGACAGGGACGCCGATATCGCGGGAACCGAGGAAAGAAGAACGAGACGGCCAAAGCTGTTAACCCGGCGGAGAAGAAGAAGCTACCGGGGAAATCGTACAACAGAACGGAAACAATACACTATTCGAAGAGGATACAGAGACGGCGGCGGAGTCGAGCGCCCGGACCACGAGACCGTCGACAATGCCAGGGCCAAGCTGGCCGACATCGACGCGAATCTTTTCTCCCCGAGATCCCAATTTGACGAAGCTGTATCTCGGAACAAGTTCAGGAAAGCAAAATGAACCAACACAAACCAAAGGAGTTGGAAGAGGTGGGTGGCGTCGGAGCCAGGGTAGAAGTCGCCGAAAATGCAGCTGATGGTAGAGAGAAGTTGTTTCCGAAAGGGAAGACTGGGTACTGGAATGTAGCAGATGGATAGGGCACAGAAGGAAGGGTTGGGGTTCGGTATTCGGTATTACTGATTTACCGTCGGTATTTACCGATACCGGTTTCGGTATACCGACCCACCCAATTCGCCGCTCGACCGCCGATACCGCCGGTAAACGGTTCGGTAAAACGGTAAACCGTTTACCGGCGTACCGAATCCCACCCCTAGTCACCATATCCTACCCCAAACTACTAAACTTACTTTTGCTCCACAATTAAAACTAACAGGACAATCAAAAGGAAACAGAACTCAACGCTAATATCATTAATCCTACCAGCCTCTTTTCGGTGCATGATTAAATTCATGTTGGAGTGAAGACGATTTGTAAAATCTCTTGCACACACTCACAACCAAAAAATATGGGGTCTTTATACTCGCTTCCTCCATCATGTGCATAATTAATTCCATGTTGGAGTGAAGACTATCTGTAAAATCTCTTCAACTTACAACCAAAAAATAAGTGGCTTTTAGTAGGGGTGAACAAACCAAACCGATAACTGACACACCCGTCCAAAACCGACCTATTCGTGATATCCATGAATATTTAATTTGATGGGTGGGTGCGGCTTTAAATTTCTAAAAACCTAAGCCTTATGGTTGTGTTTGGGTTTGGATTGTTATAAGTCGAGCTTATACAAACCGACCCGTGATACTACATTATATATTTAATATATATCCCTCCACCACAAATATCTTATTTTAATTATTATACATGTCATTTGTTCACATAGTGTTGATAAATTGAAACTAAATTATTTATCATATGGATTTTCATCCAACCCGATCCAAATCGTGACCCAAGACGTATATGCAATATGAGTCATTTAGGCAATCACTCGTTCACATTACGTTCTCCAACTAACTATTATAGTCACAACTTTGCATCATATCCTACATATTTTAAATCCTGGGAATTCATATCCATTACTCGCGTCGTGATCAACAAATGTGCTTTTTACTGGGGAAAATTCACAAAGATATTAAATTATATCATAGAACAATCATTTTCTTTCATCCTTAATGTTGATTACGTAAGTATTATGTGAAA